CAAATATGATACTCAACAAAAAGTTTAGATGTATTAAAACCGTTCCATATAAAAATAAATCAGTTTTGTCTAACTATTATTTTATATGTCAGACTTTACAAAGCTCATACTAACATTTTGTTCGATAACAAATCAGATCAGATAACAAAAACTTTTTTTTTTTCAAGTTGTTTTCAGATCAGTGTCAGTTGCAGGATGTCATTGCACGGTCTGACAGAGCTTTGGCTGAGGTGAAAGACCTGTTTGGTGATGCACCCCGTCGACGCACAGGTATTTAATTCTTGTGCAGTATAAACTAATGTGCTATTATCTGATCAAACAAGTATTATGTTAATGTACTTGTGAAAGCTCATAAATTTGTGTTTTTTAGGATTCCCCACCATTACTGTGGCACCTGACTGTGATTCTGACTCTGAGCTTCCTGTCCATCAAAAACCTGATCCTCCAACCCAGCTGTCATTGCTCAGCCAGACTATGATGGATCAGCAGGTACTCGCACACAAGCACCACCTACAGCTTTTACTCTGTAATAAAACCTAGAATAATAAAGTCTTTTGTAGGCCCTGAATGAGTTGGAGGAGTGTGAAGAGGAACATGATGAAGTCCAAGATGCCCCGGTGCACCTCAGCTCTGTGATGCACAGGTGTGAATGACTGTTCATTTATCTTCAATAAACAACTTCTAATGCATTTTGATTGTCTTTAGAAAGTAATTTTTTTAACGCTTGTTTTCAGAAAAATAAATAAATGTAGGTCAAAGTCCTTTCCATGGACCTCAGATCATCCGGAGCAAGAGCTACCCAAGACACCATGTAATACTAGAGTCAGAGAAGATCAGGCAGGTAATGAAGGCATGAGCTTCTTTATGTCATTGCAGGTTATTGTCAAGATGAATCTGTTGAAACTTTTTTTTTTTTTTTTTAAATATCTATGCTTCTTTTGCGCAGCCCTCAACGCCACGGTGGCTGTACAGCGTTTAAAATCCAGACAGACTTGTCCTGATGTAAACCAATCTACTTCACTAGTCAACCAGGTTCTGAACCCAGAGCCTGCTTCCTCTCAACCAGGTTGAGCACTGTTATCAGACACTATTTTTAGTATATTATACAATAACGTAATAATACTTATTTAAAAAAAAAAAATTTGTAATAATATTTCACAGCATTATTGTTTTGACTTTTTTGATCAAATCAGGATTGGTGAGCTTGACAGACTTAAAAAAAATATATATATAATATACATTTTAATAACACTAACAACAACAACAATATTAATGCCGTAAATTTTTTTTTTTTTTATCAATGTTATTGTGTGTGTGTGTATTTAGTTGTGTATCTAGACATAAATTACATAGAATAAATGGTAATACCTGTTTTTTTTATCTTTTTTTTTCAGGTATTAAGAGAAGCTCAGTTCAAGCCAGTAGGGGGCGCTCCGGACATACCTCTGGCCTTAACGGCTCAGGGTTAAGCTCTATGGCAGGAAACCAGTCCAGTCTGGAGCTTCTACAGGGCATGCTTGAGCAAGTGGACACTGAGCTGGACTCTCTAGACCACCAGAATCCTTCATCAGAAGCTGGATCACAGCAACAGAGACCAGGCCTCACCGGCTTCTCTGTTGCTCTAGTGACGACACTTGGACGTCTAGCCAGTCATATTAGAAAAGTGAGGGCACATAAGTGAAATCCAAAAGATTCTTTAACAAAATTGGTCAAATGAGTCACTTCCTCATTTACATCACTTGCACAGAAAGAAGAGGAGGCTCTGAGGGAGGCACAGGAGAGAAGACGACTAGAGGAGGAGGTGAAGGAGCAGAGAGCCTTGATTGACGCCCTGACTGTAGAGTCACTGACACTGAGGGAAGAGAGTGCCAACCTGCAGGTGAACTATTTAGTCTTCAGAAACAGTATCCAGATGTTATTTGCAAGTTTGTCAATGGTGTTCGCTTTTGTTTTCATGCAGGAAAGGCTGCAGCAGCAGATATTTGACCTAGAGCGGCGTCTAGATGCTGTAGTCCTGGTGGTGGGAAGACCAGATTCTGCAGAACCACACAAAACAGTGGAAATCACAGAGAATGCAGCTCGAAGTAACTACCACAAACTGTAGATCCACAGATTATGCACCTGTAAACTAGTTGTCTAATTTTATCAGGATTGTTTATCTTGAGTATGTATTTAAACCTGCAGCAGCACAGTGATTAAGAAGATTGTGTTGTGTTCTGTAGAAAGCAGAAATCTGGAGTCTGGCTGTACTGAAAAGGATCTACAGCAACAGGACTTTGTCTCTGCAGCTGTGCTGCTCTCTCCTCCTCGTCAAAGAGATGGTCTGCCTCCCGCAGGTCAGTCTGAAGTGTAGAAAGATCCCTCATTCTGTCAATTTACACCTAGTAGTGTTGAGGGCTTAACAATAAGACGGGCATCACTATTGTTGTTTGTATAATCCAGATGCAACATTTTGGAGGATGATAAAATAGATCATACATGGACATTAAATAAAAAGGTTCCATACATGTCTACGAATTTCAACGTCCTTAAGAATCCACCAAGCAACCCCCATCAGCACCCCTAGAAAATACTAAGAACTCCTTACTGATGGATTAGCAAATGTTAGGGAAAACTATTAGGACACACTTTTTGAAAATATTTATTTAAAAAAAAAAATGGTTGTGGGTGGCTAACTTTGTATTGCTGAAACCACTCGTAAGAAAATATAAAATATTTGTTTTTGATGCATGTTCTGAAAAGAAAGGAGGGTTTGCACGGGTGTACTTTCTGTAACTACCCAGCATTTATGAATCAACAATCAAAATGCAGTAACCGAGTTAAAAAATATGTACTTTAGGACTTCTTAGGAAGTCACTTCTTTTCTCTCTTTTGAAAGCTTGCTAAATCCAATTGAATCATCAATGCAAGTATGACTCAACAGTATTTTCTTACTTCTCCCAGCATGTCGTCCACATTCACACGCACCCCCGCTGCACTACAGTGGCTCTTGTGCAGCAACGGGAAGTCAGGGTTCACTGGAGGACTTTGACATCTCCATCTCTCCTTCCTCCTTTGCTAGCCTACCACGGCCCACTCCTCTGCTGGATGATCTCTCTCAAGATGCCATGTTAGGGGAGATCGCGGAACTGACACGTCAGAATGCAGCGATCCGGGCGCAGTTGGGGCAGCACCGTCCATCTCCAGCTGGAGCTTCAGTGTCTAGGGAGCAGAGTGCAGACCGGGTTTCCACAGCCAGTCCTGTAGTTAGACAAGTGTCGCCCTCTACAGAGCCGCAGCACACACAGCAGGTTAGTTACATACTGTGGACTTGGAGTATAGTCTGCAGTTCCTCACAACTGCTTTTGTTTTCAATACTTTATTTCTTATAGTTGTGCCTTTACTTCAAACAAATATGACTTTACACTACTGATCAAAAGTTTAGGGTCAATAAGATTTAAAAAAATGTTTTAAAAGACTCCTCTCTAATGCTCACCAAGGCTGCATTTACTTGATCAAAAATACAGTTAAAACAGCAGTAGTTAAATATTATATTCAATTTGAAACAACTGTTTTCAATTTTAATATATTTTAAAGTGTTGTTTATTCCTGTGTTGAAAATTCAGCTGCCAATACTCCAGTCTTCCGTGTCACATGATCCTTCAGAAGTCATTCTAATATGCTGATTTGGTGGTCAAGAAACATTTCTTATTATCTTCTGGTTAATATCACTTGTTGAATAGAGGAATTATTCTGATTATTTTTTTGAATCATACTCACCACAAACTTTTAACCGTAGTTTGTCTCATTTGTGAGACTTGCGAGTTTCTCATAATTGAGTATCTCACAATTACAACTTAATATTTCTCAATTGTTTTCCGCCACAATTACATATGTTTTACTCTGAGGTAGAAACAGGCTTCCATAGTACACAGTGAGTTTGGATGTGTCAGTTTCATACATTTACATCTTTTTTGTCCAGCCTATTTCTGTAGAGAGATCCTCAACAATGGAGATTGAACAAAAACTGCAGGAGCTGAACCGCCAGAGTGCTGAAGCAAGAGCTAAACTACTAGAGCTCATTGAACAACAGAAACAGAGCACCTCTCTCAGAGTTTCTCCTGCCATTTCCCCAGTACCTCCTCACTCCAGCAGCACTCATACAGGTGTGTGTCTCTTTTAATAAGGCTTACATCCTCTCAGATCCTGCAGAATGAGAGTAACTCGTATATGGCGACTATTCATGTTTTAAAGCAGTTCGAGGGTTAACTCCAGAGCAATTTTTGACACTTCCTGAGAGAAACCATTCACCACAACCCAGTGCAAGTAGCCGAAGGTGAGTTATAAAAAGCCAAGAACAGATTTGCTTATAAGATATAACAGAAACACATTAGACTTGACTCTTCAATCCAACTGTGCTAGTATAATTACAAGGTATTTTTCAAATCGGTGTTAAATTGCGTTTTAGATTTAGCGAAGTAATATTTTTAATGTTTTTTTTTTTTTCTCAGGTCAACTGGAAGAGTCTCACCACAAAGTTTGGACAGTGTGGAAATCCAGAGGCTTGATAATCAAGTATGAAATATAATTTTTATTGCACATATAACCATCATACGTAGTTTCTAAAACGTAATATTGATACTTGCAGTATCTAAAACTCCAGATACTTTGTATTTTATTTCTGACAGGTGGACAAGCTGAAAAGAGAGGGCTGGTTTGCATTGTCAGCTCATGTCCAATGACTTGAGCTCAAGGAATATGGTCTATGAATAACATCATATTTCCATGCACAATATGCTTTTTGCAGCAACCTCAACAGCAAGCACCCCCTCTCTGAAAGCTGGACCCCTACAGATGACAACCAGATACATCATGTTGGTTTTATTTACAACTTGAATAGATGTAAATGTAAAATCTTTGATCACAATTTCTTTCTACTGTTCAAAAGCTTGGGTTGGTACAATTGTTTTTTTGTTTTTTTTAAAAGATGCTTATACTCACCAAGCTGCATTTATTTGATCTTAAATGCACCCCCTCTCTGAAAGCTGGACCCCTACAGATGACAACCAGATACATCATGTTGGCTTTATTTACAACTTGAATAGATGTAAATGTAAAATCTTTATGATCACAATTTCTTTCTACTGTTCAAAAGCTTGGGTTGGTACAATTGTTTTTTTGTTTTTTTTAAAAGATGCTTATACTCACCAAGCTGCATTTATTTGATCTTAAATACAGTAAAAAATTGTAACACTGTCAAATATTTAATTTAAATAAAAACTTTAAATAACTTTTTTTATTTTAATATTTTAAAATATAATTTCTGTGATGACATTCTAATATACTGATTTGGTGCTCAATAAATGTTTCTTATTATTAATGTTGAAAACAATTGTGCTGCTTAATATTTTTGTGGACGGTTTCTGTGATACGTTTTTCAGGATTCTTTGATGAAAAGAAAATTCAAAAGATCAGCATTTATTTGAACTAGAAACCTTGACATTATAAATTTATTAATGTCTTAATTTAATGCTCTTTTTCTGAATAAAAGTATTAATTTCATTTTTAAAATACTGGCCCCCATACGTCAAGGTAAAAACTATATATTGTTTTATATAAAGTATATATTTCAGATTTTTATTAATGCATATTTCTGCATATTGGTAACATCACAAGACTTTATCCAACTTTAATTATATATTAATAAGCAGTTCAAAATGTTACATTTAATTTAAATTTAATTTTAAATTGAAGCAGAAATGCAACAGTTCAGTTAAAGAAGCACTCTACTGAAAAACTATTTACAACTGAAAAAATGTATAGTTATTTACAAAAATATTTGCTTTATTTAACTTCATTTATTAAACAGAATCTGAGGTTAAGCCTGAGATGGACTGCCCTTTACTTACACCGAGGGCTGAGTTCTGCCACTCTGCTCAGTAGTCTGTCAGCGTCCTTTGTCTTCTCTATATATAGGGACACTAGAGCCTCCAGCTGGGCTGAGTCTTCAATGCCAACCCCTTCCAGAAAATACTCTCTGACCGTCCGACGCGGCAAACCTACCGCCACACCAACCTCACAGACATTAAACCTAATCTCATCCCCCACAGTCAAGCCCAGCCGAGTCATGACCTGCTGCAGGCTTCCTGATGGAAGCAAGATCAACAAGGACAACATCAGTTCTGCAAGCTTAGATCTTAGATGAATTCTGGAAACAAAAATATTTTTTTTTGGTCTGAGCAAATTTACCAGCCATAAATATTTCTAGTCTCTCATATTTTTCAACAAAATGAGTATAATGCTGAAATGTGAATCACCTGACAGAGGTAAAGCCCTCAAGTGACCTCTGGTTTCCTCCACTGCTATCGGCACAATGCTGCCTTCAGGTTCTTTATTAAGATCTTCCACCAAACTGTTCACTGAATAATGAGAAGACTGTAAAGAAGCTGAAGTCCTGGCTGAAACAATATTAGGAGTTCTAACTTATGTTTATTACTTTTCTGAGGTAATATTTTTGCTGAAACGGATTACTTTATCGTAAAAAATAAAGAAAAATTTATACTTTTACTCAGCAAGGAGGCATTAAAATTAATCAAAGTGACAGTAAAGACATTTTAATTACTGTTCATTGAACGTTCTATTCATCAAAGAATCCTAAAAAAAAATGTTTTCCACAAAAATAATAAGCAGCAAAATTTCAACAATGATAATAATGACTATTACTAATAACCTGGCATTAATAATAATTGCCAGATCAGAGTATGACACTGAAGACTGAAGTAATGACTGCTGAAAATTCAGCTTTGCCATTACAGTAAATTACATTTCAAAATATACTGAAATTGGTTACTTGAAATTGTAATATTTATTCCATCAAGATATGAGATATACCATAAAATAAATAAATAAATAAATAATACTTTTACTCAGCAAGGAGGCATTAAAATTAATCAAAGTGACAGTAAAGACATTTTAATTACTGTTAATTGAACGTTCTATTCATCAAAGAATCCTAAAAAAAAATGTTTTCCACAAAAATAATAAGCAGCAAAATTTCAACAATGATAATAATGACTATTACTAATAACCTGGCATTAATAATAATTGCCAGATCAGAGTATGACACTGAAGACTGAAGTAATGACTGCTGAAAATTCAGCTTTGCCATTACAGTAAATTACATTTCAAAATATACTGAAATTGGTTACTTGAAATTGTAATAATACATCGTAATATTGTTGTTTTTATAATACTGATATAATTTTATCTAATTAATGCAGTCTTTATGAGCAAAAGAGACTTCTTTCAAAAACATTAAAAAATCATCGGAATTATTCCAAATATTTGACCAGTAGTGTGCATTACAATATTATATGCATTTAGATTATAAAACTGCATTTAGTTAACTTATTAAAGTTGTGCTGACCATTGAGTTCCTCAGCTAGCTGCTCGTCTTCATTCTTTAGCGCTGTGTAAAAGCTCTTGCATGTTTTTTCTCCTTTCTTCAGGCAGATGGACAGCAGGGTTTGTGCTTGCTGTGTTGGGATGAGTATTGCTTGGATTTTCTCCAGCTCCAACTGAGTCAGAATGCCTCTGGAGAAGAGATCGAAGGAGACCGGCAGTACAGAAAGGCCCAAGCGTGAGCACAAAACATTAAACTGGGCCTGTAGTTGACGTTCTGCATGGAGACAGGACAATGGTGAGGGCTGGGAGACATTTACATTAAGTAAAAGTGAAAATGCTGAGGCTGTCTTACCTGTTGGACCTTGCGTAATGCCTGGTGGTTGGAAGTGATCTAATATGAGAGCGCAAAATGTTTTAGTATTTACATCATGCTACTGCATTTATGTTTTAAGATAGAACGCAACTTTAGTCATAGCATACCTTCTTCTGAGGTCAACCAGGTTCGTAGACGCGGGTAATGTTTCTTGCATTTTCTCAGACACTCCATGAAACTAGAGGCTCCACTTTCATCCATCTGAGCGTCAACAATCTCTAGAAGCTTTCGGACTTTGTTGGGTGGCGTTCGTTCAGCTTCAATTTCATAACAGTTTTCTCTAGAGAGCAGACCTACAGATATAACACAGTCTAGCAGAGGGCCCAGGTGATAAAGAGCATCCACCAGAAGTATCTGTGAAGACAGGAGCCGGGCCTTTACAGTTTGCTTCTCCTCTGCTCCTATAGGGAGAGTGGGGGAAGATGAGCCATTTTTCACTCCAGCAACACTCAGATTTTACAATTGTTTCCTGTCAATTCGAATGATAAGTTCTCCAGTGAATCAGGTTAGGGCTAAGTTTAGCCATATAGACCAAAATATGAGCCAAATTAGACATTAATTAAAAAATAAAAATGTAGCCTAAATATGACTGGACAGCAAAGGTACAGTAACAGTTTTGCACTTTTTCTGATAGATAGATAGGAAAGGTAAATCTATAAAGCTTACCTGAAATGTGGGGTCTCTCGGTTGAGGAAGCCATCACAAAATTACATGGAAATAATTCATACTACTCATCTTCAAACTATGTTCATTCAAACGTTTCACTTCTGATCTCACGAAATTCATTCATGTCAGTTCACTTGATGGAAATCCTGAAGCGCGAATCGACGATGACAAAAGTCACTCGGCGGCACTTAATGTCAAAAAAGATATACTTGAGTATATCTGAGTTTAGTGCATCGGCTAAATGCCAGTGTTTGTCATAAAGTGTCTCGAGCAGTTCCTCAGTGTACCACTTCCTGGAAGTGGTGAGCTACCGGTGAGAGCTTTAAGTCTGAGTCAACAAAGTTTCATATTGATAAATGCTAAAACTTCAACTCCCACGGTCATATAAGATTCAGTTTGAGTGGAGATTCTGATTTTGTGATTAAATATAAAGAGTCTCAGGATTGAAACTGTGATTTTAAATATATGGGCGTGACCTCTTGTGCCCGCCACCTATGTGAATTATAAAATGAAACCAGTATAAACTCTTTATTTAATATAATTAGTGGTAAATTTAATATAATAAGCTAAATGTCTTTTGCGAGGGCTGGAAGTTAGCTTTTGAGGTCTTTTGAGGTCTTTTGAGTCTTTGTTTGTGAGGTGAGCACAGAGCCCTGCAGAACACCTGCTGAATTCATACATTCTTTTGTCTCATGTTGTGTGAGGCTTTGCAGTCACATGAGATGCATATATTATGGCCCTCTTCATCTTATTATTACATACCCTGATAAAGAGTTAAAGACTAAAGCATCCAGTCTCTTATTACTTCATAATGTTGGCGTCTTTGTTTGTGAGGTGAGCACAGAGCCCTGCAGAACACCTGCTGAATTCATACATTCTTTTGTGTCTCATGTTGTGTGAGGCTTTGCAGTCACATGAGATGCATATATTATGGCCCTCTTCATCTTATTATTACATACCCTGATAAAGAGTTAAAGACTAAAGCATCCAGTCTCTTATTACTTCATAATGTTGGCGAGACCAGGGCTAATTTTCCACACTATTAAAAAAAGGTCAAATATAAACCAACAAACAAACCATTGTTTAGGCTGTGCGATTAATGAACTATAATAAATGTATACCATGTAAAACACACGTGGCAATTTACCAATATAAAACAACATTGCTAGAGAAAATAATTTGTGGATGTTGTATATTTTAAATGCTGTTTTTCAGTGAGCAGCTATTTTCTTGCATTAGTGTTGTTATTGTTAACTAAACTAAAAGTATTAAAAAAATTATTTAAATAAAAGTGAAATAAATGTAGGCCTAAATATTAGATGAACATCTTAGAAATGTTACTGAAACCAGCTGAAACTGAAAAAGGTTTAACTTGAAGTACTAAAATGACTAAAACTAAACGAATAAATAAAAAATATATATAAATAAATTAAAGCTATGTGTGTATGTTGTGTGTGTGTGTGGGGGGTATATATATATATATATATATATATATATATATATATTTACAGGGTGCGATTTGCATACGCATCCCTGCCTCTGCTGAATTCTTTTTTCTCTCCGGTGGGGATAAATAAAACATCCCGCGAACAGCGCCGAAGTCCTGATCTGAACCAAATGATTCGTGATACGCGATCCGATTGGAGCAATTCAAAAAAGTGAATCATTTTGCGACGCAATGGTTTAACTGATTCGGAGTTTCAAAAAGCTCCGTTGATACTGTAAAATGTATGTTTTTTGCTCACTTTCCTGTATAATTTATTCGTTGTTTGAATAACCGTTGAAATGAATTAATCGGCCTAATGTTTTTATTAAATCGTGATCACGTTAAATAGCCTACAATTTCGTGACATGACACACATTATCTGGTACTTGTTTAAAAAGACTGGTTTATGATGTGCTTTGTTAACAGATTACACTAACATTATACTTTAAAGCCTTGCTCTGAAAAAAAAGTTTTCAAAATCATATACTAAAAATATACTAAAATAACGCTACCTTTACAGTGACACCTGCAGTAAAGATGACTTCAGGTAGAGTTATCAGTGAGGCCAGGAGGGGGCGCTCAGCCTGTGGTCTATGTGGTTCCTAATGCCCCCAGTGGTGATGGAGACTATACTGTAAAAAAGCCACCGCACTTCAAATGAGACATTAAAACAAGCTCCTGGTAGTGATTGAGAGGAGTTCCCTACTCTCTGTAAATCACTTTGAATGGAAATTCCAGGAAATGTGATATAGAAATGTAAGGAATTTTGATTGTATGCATCTATTTCCTCTTCCAGTTTAATATTCCACAGTTTACACCGAGGGCCACTTAACTGATCACCTTATGTAATATCTCCAAGCGGTTTTATAAGGGAGGGGGTATCTGAAGGATATGAGAAGGAGTAAATATTGAACAAAGTAACTGTGTGGTCTCATAAAGTGGTTGGGAATAGAGGTGCAAAATGCCAGGTTAGGGGTCATCACAGAAACTCTCTATACACAGGGTGGGGCCCTTTGTACCAAGAATGGTGGAGTGGAGGAGAGACTGAATGGAGGATTAATCCCACACCAGTGCATCTCAATGCTCCATCCCCGCCAAGAGCCAAGAGCTCATTCCCATGTGCTGGTCTTTATTTCATCCATTCAGGAGTCAATGGGTCTGCTACACCCCCACCTTTCCACTCACACACACACTCCTGAACACTGGAAAAACATGGCAGTCCATATAAGTGAACATATGGAAACATAAGTCTGTTTACAATTCATTATAATAACTGATCAATTAGTTTTATCATGCTTTATCAATCCTATAGTGAGCTCCTAGTAAAATGGTAACACAGTGTAAATTCATTCACGTTCAATCTTTATCATTTCTCACTCTTAAAAACACATGAATTCCTAAACTTGCACCCTCAGTAACATCCCTCACCTCCTACATTCAAACACACACATCCATGCAGGCTTAAATACACATTCATTCATGTTCACATACCCACTTATTCATTGGCACACTTGTTTAAAACAATGAGGAGCTCTTGTAATATGTGTGTGTGTGTGTGTGTGTGTGAGAGAGAGAGAGAGAGAGAGAGAGATAGATGCTGGCTGGTTCTTCTTTAACACATTTAAATCTACCCCCACTTCACTTTCATAGAGAGCCACAACACCCTCTCACTTCACTCACATTGAAGTACATTCACTCACATTTTCTCTTTCATCAGCACTTGATGCAATTCATATCCTCTTTGGCAAGAGTGACACACAGGAAACTCTGATGGAAGGTCTGGTCACTCTTGTGAACTTGGAGCAGCAGATGTCTTTGACATTTTCCTGACTTGTCTGCATATTTTATGGTAGCCTAATGCTAATGAGCAGATGAACTAAACTTTAAAAATGTAAACATTTCCAGACTTTGCTATAGTGAAATAGTTACGTCAGAAATAATAGAAATATTTTATTTTATTTCCCCTCTTGCTTTTTTCTTTCTGTCAGTGCTCTTCCCAGTGGATAATTGATGTTGAAAATATATCAAATTAACATCAAACATTGACGTTAAAAAAACAGGTCAAATATGCAAATCAAACTAACTTCAAAAACTTAACATTGATTTGATGTAAATTGAACGTCAAATATATCGGCCTACTTAAACATAAACCAATTTCAGTGTGGGATTAACTTCCTGTTTTCCCCCAATTTTAGTCTAAACTGATCAAGGCTTGACTAATATTTGGCGTCCGTGGGTCGGCATGATGACCGTGTGGAGATGATGAGTTAATGTAAGTCCCCAGCAGAGGGCAGTAACTCTGTTGTGCTTGTGGACAGTCACCGACTCACCGCTGTGTACAGTATGTGAGTTATAAAGGGCATTTCTCTCATTTTTTCATTCATGCTCATACCTTGAAGATTTTGTTTTGTAAGTTGTTTTATTACATTTATCACTTATATCTGTGTAGTTGGCAAGATATAAGCCATCTCAGCCATTGAAGTATGATGCTAGCAACGTGCCAGGTCATGGGTTTGCATCGAATGGCTTGGATTAAAATTGTCTATCAAATGTAAAAATACTTTCAGAAAACTTCATCTTCTGCTACACTTCATCTACATCTATTTTAAACAGCATTATGCACATTTTTGATTGGAATTATTCCGATTTTAAAATGTGTTTGAAAGTGTTTTTTGCTCACCAACACTGCATTTATTTGATCATAAATACAGCAATACTGTGAAAAATGATAGCAATTTAAAATAAGTGTTTTCTATTTTAATATATTTTAAAATAAAATGAATTCCTGTGATGCAAAGCTGATTTTTCAGCATCATTACTCCAGTCTTCAGTGTCACATGATCCCTCAGAAAAAAATCGAATATTCAGATTTTTATTATCAGTGTTGAAAACAGCTGCTTAATATTTTTTTGTGGAAACTGTGATACATTTTTTCGGATTCTTTGATGAGTAGAAAATTCAAAATAACAGCATTAAAAAAAAAAAAAAAAAAAGATATATATGTATATATGTCAACTTACTTTTGCTCAATTTAAGCCATACTTGCTGCATGAAAGTATTAATTTCTTTTTAAAGTATTAGTTTCTTAATAAAGTACTAAAACAATGTACTGACCATTCACAAGCGACAAAGTGAACTGTGGTCCTATAAAATCTGTTGGTAATGATATCTTAATATGAATGAGTCTTGTAAACCATTTTAATGCATGAACAAACAAATAGTTTTCAGTAGTGTAGATTGTAGATATAATGAACCAAACAAAGACATTTGAACTGTATAATGTATGTACCCAGAAGCATATGTCGTACAGTTTACGTGCACATATCTGATTGTGTGTGTGAGAGTGCATGAATTTGGGTGTGTGTCCAAGCAAGTGTCCGCTGCAGCTGTGCAGAGCTGTGATCTGAGGCCGACTTTGGCTTGCTGTGAAAATATTATTGCAAGTGTTTATTATTACAGCACTGAGAGACAGTGGGAGTGTTGTGTGCCGTGCGGGCCAGCTAAAAGGGGGTGTAGACCAGGAGTGTGTGAGAGGAAGGAGGTTTTTTTTTACTCTCATTCCTTGTGTTCCCACCGACCGGCCACCAGCGAGGCACAGTGCATTGTGGGTAGTGGGGAGGCCTATTGAAGTTGATTAGTTCCGGCTGAGTCTCAGATAGAGTTCTGACAGGCCGGAGAAACTGGCTCACAGCGTGAACGGCCCCCTCCTCACGCACCCCCTTGCCCTCTCCAGCAGACAATAGAAGCAGCATGACAAGAGCTTTTTAAAA